CACTTAACACTCTTTCTCTTTTTATTAATTATTGTCATCCAAGCTGGATTTTATTCGCTCCATCTTCATGCAAGTCAACGAAAATAAATTCAAAGTTTAAATTTGGAACAAGCTATAAATTTGTCTAATACTTAATGCGAGTTTTTCCCATTTAAAAACTAAAAAGTTGTTATTCTCATAAGAGTAAACTCTGAATTCGGATCTGGAATGAGTAGAGTCTCCACCCCGTAAATTTTTGTTAAGCTATTTGATCTTACCCGCGGCAACGTTCGTGTTAACGTCGAGTTTTTTCTCATTGTGTAATGACCTCAGGAGCAGAGCCAGCAGCCCGACTTTACGAAACCATTCGTTAAACTCAACACTTTTTCTTTGTTTCTCATCGCCCTTTTTCCTCACCACCACCAGCTAAACTCTTTTCGGTTTCTCTTGAGAGCCAGCCACGCGAGAATCCACCTCAGGGGCATTGTTGCCGACTTTTTTCGCCTTCGCTCGGTTCAACAGAGACGCCAGCCACGGAGTCCAAAAAAAAAAAAAAAAGACAAACCGCAAAGACCGAATAGAAATAAGAGAATGAGTTAAGTCTTCTATTCCAGACATACATTTATGCTACATATATACACACTGGTAGTACACTCCAAAGGATCCAGATCACGAGCTTTTCAATTACCGTCCCGATCTCCAACCCTCTTTACCTCTGACTTTAACTCTTTACCCCTTTGCCAATACTTTGCTGCTCTTTCGGATGAAAAGCTTCCTAAAATTCCCGATCAGCCTCCATTTTATCTTCAATTGCTTTATTGTTTTTTGTATCTCCCTACTTTGTGGCTCGTCTTATAAACGGTATTTAATTGCAAGTAATTTAAAAAATTATTTAAAAGCGGCAATTTAAAATTCGACAAAGTTTTAAAAATGTAATTGTTAATTTTGCGATTCGATAATTAAAATCAAATATGTACAGCTAGTAATTGAATATTCAATTTCAATTTTAATTAAAGAAAATACCAATTATAAAAAATAAAAAATAAATGTGTGTTGGTAAAAAATAAAATAATGCAAATGGTATTGGTTTTCTTCGGTGAATACAACAAGCAAAGTAATCGGAGAATAGCCGTGAAAATAGTAAACGCTGAGAATATTATCGAATGAAATGTAATACCGATGGAGAGGAGAGAGGAGAAAAGTGTAGGTGGTAGCTCTGCAACTAGTGCTTTTCACCCCTAACCTTTAAAAGCTCGCGATCACCCACCACGCTCTTTTCGGGTCCACTCCTATCCGATCCACCCAGCTGCATTCGTTTTGCGGTTATACCACGATAATAACAATAATAACAATGTCGATAACCCGGGTTAAAATGTCGGTGCTTGGTCTCTACCCAGTACAGGGCGCGCTGTTGCATAAAATTGTAAAACCCCGTCGCTACTGCTGCTACTACTACTACTACTACTACTACTACTACTACTACTATTACTCTGGGAACCGAGATAGCTGCAAACAGAGCCGAGTTAATTTAAAAATGCAAATTTCACCGCAGAGAGAACTCGTTCAAGCTGCCCGGGGATGAACAGCGAGCCGAGGGTTAAAGGGAGATTGCGGTGAGCTCTAAAATAAAAAAATCTAAACAAAAGTATATATAATATTTCCGAATAAGAGACAGTATTTATGAGTAGTTGAATAAATTTTAGGTGTCAGAAAATGTTTATTTTATTTTATTCTATATGTATAGTTTATTATTTTTTTTTATTTCTTTTTGTCTTGCTACCGCGTACAACGACATGCCAGTAGTTGATAGAGCTTCACTGCGTTGAACCTTTTTGCCCTCACACATCCACACAGATGTGTACCATGTACCTCGAACATTTTACTCCCCCGAGAACATTTCTTTTTCATGGCTCGTAATTTTTTTTCGGCGTTTTCGCTCTCTTTTTCTCTTTGCCGAACGACACGTTTTAAATCAGAGACCAACTCACTATTTATTTACTTTTTTACAACTATTTTTTACAACCCATTTCACATTCCATTTCCAAATAAATAAAATTCCCAAACAAAAATGATCAAAACTCCCTCTTTGTCATATAGACGACGGCCGTGCTGATGTTAAATAAAAAATTGCAATTACTCACTGTTATAAATCACTCAACAAAACTCCGATAAAACTCATCACCTAAAACTCCTAAACTCACGAGTGACCTCTTGCATAATCTAGGGCATCAGAATCAGGCGAGCCCTAATATAAGACATAAATCATCTTCATCCTTTCCTTTCAAATTCATCCACTCGACTTAATTGAAAGCTCCAATTATTTATTTTCAATCAAATTACCAACACCGATTTATGGATTCCCTAGTCAAATATACACTGTAAATTATTAATAAAGTGACAAGTTTGGAAAACACGACGTGCCGAACAACCACAACTTACACTGGATTCAATAGACAAGATATAAAACATAATAGAGCAGACAGCAGATGTCAGACGGCAAAGTAGTTTATGTCGAACAGAAGGTAAGGGAAAGACTTTGGGTTTGCATACTGAAGAAACATCAACACCGATCAATAAATTCAAGATATTGTCAAGGATGTTGAGAATGTGAATATAGTTCTGCTAGAGAATGACTCGCTCCGCAAGTTGGCATGCGACCTATCCAATTTAGGAAGAGAGTAAACCAGACCTGTAACCCCTCTGTACTGATCTCAAGCAAGCAGAGAGTAGAGCGACGCTTTGGCTTTTCAAGGGATAGGATCAATTTGACAGTATTGGTTGGCTTTCCGAACAGAGTGTAGGAAGCAGGGCTATCAACCCACGAATGTGGTAAGTGAGCTAAAGCCGGCTAGGAATAGCTCCCTGCTTCCTCTGTCACACAATCACCCTGATAATTTCACCTACAGCACACAAGTGCTTCCTACCAGGTCTCGGACTCTAGTTCTATACTATACATCCATCTACTATACAACTGTATAGATATAGATGGAGATAGACACCCTAATACTCTACTCTAAACCTTAGCGACTCCTTATCTTCCTTTTTAGTTGCAAAGCCACTAGACCGGCTGTTTCCTTATTCCTTATTCCTTATTTCTCACTCCACCCTATCTAACAGGTTACAAGCGGTGTATACGGAGATGCCACAAAACCCCAGCTGCTTTACAAGATTGCAGCGAGTGGTTCTCAAATTAACGGAATAATAAATAAATATAAATAATAGCTGTTGGATCAAAGGAATTCTGAAGGTTTTAAAAGGAATAAGGAACATATATAAATGTATAAATAAGTATAAAGGGTACTAGAGGATATTTATTGAAAAAGATACGTGAATTATTACAAGTTTGTATCCTCGGATAGACATCTCAAAACTCGTTTTTGTGTACGATGGCCCCCCGGAGATAAATCCGATGTAGTATATCTGTTGGACGCGCTGAAACAGATGTATTCTCAGCCGGAAAATATACGTTTATACTGTGTACAACCGATGGAATGAAATAAATATATACATATATATCTGAGACCGAGAGTTGTGTGTGCTGAGCTTTTTATTTCGTTTGCCACGAAAGAGTGTACGCGATTCCCTTGAGACTTGGATTCAGAAAAAGAATGAAAGTGTATAACAGAAGGGTAAAGTCTGGAAAAGGAAACTAAAGAGGATAAAGTAACACTGACACTGCCAGAGCTGGTACTCGCTTTTTATTTAATCTTTTTTTTCCCTTATTCCCTCATGCTTCTATATCTATATCTGCACATCGTCTTTTTGTCTGTTGGGCACAATCCAAATATGGTCGTCCTCATCGCCCGGTTTTTCTCATCACATCTCTTTCTTTTCTCGTTAAACCACGTACTCACGGAAATGTTCCATTCTCTGGCATTCCATACCGACTAGGCACTGAGCTGCTCCTATTCTACTCTTATTCTGAGTAGAGACTTTACTGCTATACCTCTATTCCCAGATTCTACCAGATAAATGGAAAAACGCTATTACCTACTATACCAGCCAGACTTGCCGAGACTCTACCATATTTATCATTTTATACATTATTTTTTCCCTGTATTAATTTTCCATTCTATACTACTTGGTACTACTTCCAGTTACTTGCCTTACAATTGAGTCATTTATTATTGCTTTTTTAGGTCGTTTAATACCTGAACAATGCTTGTGACATTATTTGTCATAAAAGTTTATTTTATAATAGCAGAAAATAAACCAATTAGACAACCAACTTAAAAAAAAAAAAAAAAAAAGTGATATTAATCCGTTAAAAGTACAGGAATTCAGAAGTTGAGCCGCCAAGTTGGTAACCGAATAATCTCCCTAACAGGATCTCCTAAAAAACCGCGGCCATTTCTTTATTTTCTCTTTAATTTTATTTTCACCCTCGGAAGTTAACGATGACTCTGCGAGGGAGCAAAGTGCGAGCAGCCCATAGAAAGGGAATAAAGATAGAGCGTTGAGTCGACAAGAAGTGGCTGAAGCAGTCCCGGAAATCGCTGGGGAATCTTACCAAGACGAGGGTAATGGTCCGTACGCAGGGGTTATTTTAAAGGGTTCTTCTCTCCTCTCTCTGTTTAGTTCTGTCTCATGAAGCGAGGAGTTGAGTTGAAAGTACCACCGAAGAATAAGGAAAAGGAAGCGCGAACCACCAGTAATATTACGAGGATGGAGATGAAGAGCTCGTAGTAATTGAGAAGAGGAGATTTACTTGGCTGAGAGTTTCTTAAGAAGAAGAGGGGCCGCGAATCGGGCGATTAGGTTCCTACTGAGAAGACCCGAGTTTAAGAAGGTTACAATTATTTCATTTCATAAAACGGGTAGAGGAAAGGATGAGAGGGAATAAGTTTTTCCGAGATGGAACCGGTCCAAAGGATTTTTGCTCCAGAGAGATAAAAAGTTTGAGCCGAGGGATCCGACGTGAAAATTGTTCTCGATGCACGAACGATAAATATTACATTATATATATATATATATATATATATATATATATATATATATATATAGGTATAGATTGCTCAGGAATGGAGATGGAGAGTTACAGAGGAAACCCAGGATTCAGGATCGAGGATAGAGCAGAGAAAATTCATTTCGCAGCGAATCCCTCGGGGATGCTCGGGTGAACGACACGATTGAGAGATAGAGGGCTTGTGTTTGCCAAAGTTCTGGACCTGAGGGATTATTCTTCATCCACAAACTTATATTTCTTTTTAATAGCTTAAATATATACATTTATATTGAACCTTTCTATCTATACTTTTATACTCTGTTCAGCATTTCCAATTGCTATATTTTATTTTATTTTATTTTATTTCTCTATTTAATCAATCAATCGGTTATTCAATCGATTTTCGGGAAATAATCGAGATAAAATAAATGTCTGACGGATAAAACACCCCCGGAGATGGGTGAATAAAGTTGATTCGGTATTCGGTACGAGATTGTATAGTGTAGGGAGAGTGTTAAAGTTATATTTTATGGATGTAATAAATATGTAGAGGAGCTTCAGAGAGAAACAACTAAAAGTGCTGACACGGAAACGTAGAGAATAAGAATGTTATTCTGTAGTAAGAGCTGTTGTAGTAGTAGTTCCCAGTTGTCAAGGGTCTTTTCGATCTTCTCCTAAGGGATTCTGTGTAGTGAGTTGAGAGATAAATTCGAAGGAAACACTTCCATCTGTTAAGCCGTTACTCTCCAGCATCTTGTTGGATAAAACCGAACGACTGAGAGAAATAGGCATGTATATATAAGTAATTTTAAATCCCGCGAGAAGACCCTCTGAGAAATGCTGAAGAAATCCTTTTTAAATCATTAGCTGTTAAATAAATTCAAATTGATTTTCTGTCGATACTAATTCGCTGATAAATATTTTTTTGTTTTTTTCCAGAGGAGCTCAATATCTCCAGCTGAACGCGAAAAATACAGCAGACCGAGGAGTACACCTGACCCAGGACACCACGATCACATGCATTTGAAAAAAATGAAGAAGGAGCAAGACAAAGACCTGGGACATGTAAGTATTTATTTTAAAATTCTTCTGAAGCAAGTTAATGATGATTTAATATTTTTTAGCAAAGCGATGGTGAAAAGAGTGACCAGGATTTGGTGGTAGACGACGCGAGTGAAGGAGCAGCTAGCCCAGCGGCGAATGGAACCTCCTCACCGCGAGAAAACGGACTCGAGAAGATGGGTCCGTCAGTTGGGTTGATGAGCAGCCAAATGAAAAAGGAAATACCGCCTCAGTCGCCAAAAAGCGGAACTAGCAGCAACGCGAGCACTCCGTCAGCAAAGAAGATGGAGGAACGCGAGAAACCTTCTACACCGATATCGAAACCCGTGACACCTACTTCGGCGGGTGGAAGCAGTTCTGGATCCGGAGGTCTGAAACCCAGTGGCTCGAACAAACCTCTCGTTCCAGCATCGGCTGTTGGTCCTTATCCACACTATCCTCCACCTCACCATCCCCCAGCTGGACCTCACGTTGAAATGCTGGGATACCCACCTGGGGCTCTCAATGGATACCCAACTAGACCGCCTCTTCAGCAACTTTACGACCCTCACGGCGCTATGAGAGCACCACTTGGTCCTCTAGGAGTTCCTGGCGGAAAACCGTAAGTCTTTTATAAACTTTGGAATTTAATTGATATCATCAACTGAGGTCAAAATAATAATTAATTAAAATTTTCAGAGCCTACAGTTTCCACGTTTCAAGTGAAGGTCAAATGCAACCAGTGCCCTTTCCGCAAGATGCCCTAATCGGGCCAGGAATACCAAGACACGCACGTCAGATAAACACTCTCACTCATGGAGAAGTTGTCTGTGCAGTGACAATCTCTAATCCTACCAAGTACGTCTACACCGGGGGCAAAGGCTGCGTCAAAGTCTGGGATATCAGCCAGGGAGGAAGCGGCAGCGCTAAACCAGTCTCCCAGTTGGACTGCCTTCAACGCGACAACTACATCAGGTCGGTTAAGCTTCTCCCCGACGGAAGAACGCTCATCGTCGGAGGTGAGGCCAGCAATCTCAGTATCTGGGACCTGGCGAGTCCCACGCCAAGAATAAAGGCCGAATTGACGTCTGCTGCGCCAGCTTGCTACGCTCTCGCGATATCTCCAGACTCAAAGGTCTGCTTTAGCTGCTGCAGTGACGGAAACATCGCCGTCTGGGATCTCCAGAACCAGACACTCGTCAGGCAGTTCCAGGGACACACAGACGGCGCCTCCTGCATAGACATCTCCGCAGATGGGTCGAAGCTCTGGACCGGCGGGCTTGACAACACCGTGAGGTCTTGGGACCTCAGAGAGGGCAGACAGCTCCAGCAGCACGACTTTACCTCCCAGATATTCTCACTGGGGTACTGCCCCACCGGAGAGTGGCTCGCGGTTGGAATGGAGAACTCTAACGTCGAAGTCCTCCACGCGAACAAACCCGACAAGTACCAGCTTCATCTCCACGAGTCTTGTGTCCTGTCACTTAGATTCGCCTCTTGTGGGAAGTGGTTCGTCTCCACCGGCAAAGACAATCTACTTAACGCTTGGCGTACGCCTTATGGTGCCTCCATATTCCAGGTCAGTCTCCTTTTTACACTACTTTATTTATTTTTAATTAACCAAGTATTTAAATAATAAAATGTTTGTATTTTTCGTCAACAGTCAAAGGAATCATCATCAGTATTAAGCTGCGATATATCAACCGACGACAAATACATTGTGACTGGATCAGGGGACAAAAAGGCAACCGTATATGAAGTGATATACTAAAATAAATGCGATTGTTAATATACTTTCGATACGCTTGTTATATTTATAAACGTAATATTAAAAAAAAAATAGTAATAATGACTATAATTAAAACATTATTATTGATTATGATAAGTAATGGATCTATACAGATATACTAAAGGAATCATAAGAGTAAAAATAATAGCGAGTAAATAAACTCCCAAAGTGATAACCATCCTCGGTATCTATTTTAAGGGTTTGGAAAATAAGGTCAGACACGTTTTAACCAATTATCCATGATGCTTTTTGTTATAAATTATTGATACCGAGACCTTTACTTAGTCTTGTATTTTTAGTCTGGCACTTTATTTAATTATTAAAATCATGAATCGTTAGAATAAGCCACGATAACTAAAGTATGCATATAAATAAGTAATTTTAATATTATTAAAAGCGATAAAGGTAATTTGACGTGATAACGCCCGGTGTAATATATAGAATTTTAACCAAGTGAGATTGTAAGGGCACATTATTAATTACAAAAGATTTAAAATAAATAAATCAAGTTAAAGAGAGTGAATGTATGAGCAACAGCGTGTATTATATTATAAATATTTAAAATAAAATAAGATTTAAGTTTATAATTATTAAATAAATAAGTGGATTAATCGTATTATAGTAAATGAAAAGTATAAATTTTCTTACTAATTCGATTATAAATTATAAAAAATTAGACAAGGCCTATTTGACTACTTGGCTTTGATTTTATCGGTCTACTGATTACAGCTGATTAACGGCTAATTGGCATTTTAATTGATATTTTTAAATTAATAACAAAAAAAGCTGTAATTTTTAATTTAAATTATATAAATTTTTGTAAAGATAATTAATAAATAATTGAAATAATAAAAAAAAATGAATCAATAGTTTCCCTACAAGGTACTGATAGATGATGCAAAGCGCGTGATACAAAAAAAAAGTATATTATACCGTATATTTATATTTTGTTACAGGAATAAATACATAATTATTTGCAGTTGTTTTAAAGTAATTAATTATTAATAATCAATTTATTAAATGATTAATGATATTATAATATTTTGAGGATGAATTTAGATAAAAATATTATTGTTAAATTGTTTGTTAATAATTGAGATAAATAAAACGACTGCTATTTCAATAACTATTAAAAATAATAGACCAATAGAAACAACGATACCTCAACAAGACTCGATAGTTTTTATTATGGCTACGAAACAACTCTGTACAAATGGAATTAAATATTCTTTAACTGTTTTTAAAATAAATTTATTTGCATTGCAACAAAGTTATCGATAAAAAACTGCCGGATATTATTTTGTTGTACTGTAAATTTACCAACATGGTATCACTGAGCTCGCATTGTCGTTATTTATTATTATTTTGACGTGTAATTAAATATTTGAATTGACTGTTCCAATTATTAAATTATTTGTTAGTTGGTTGACGTTTGTAAAAATGGAAATTTTTTATTTTAACCAGCATTTCATGGAAAGTTTATATAAATTTATAATTGATTATAATTGATAATAATGATTGACGTATAAATAATGTAAACTATATATTTTGTGGTACGTCGGAAACAATTATTTCGGTTAAAAAGTCCGTTATGTTTGGAATGTATTATTAATTATTAATTGATGATGGATATATTGATGCGCAGAGATAAATAAATACTCAGTGTTGTCGCACACGATTAATTATTATTATTATTATTATTATTATTATTATTATTATTATTATTATTATTATTATTATTAATATTATTATATTATCTATAATTTATTTATAGTTTGATGCTTCTGTATGTATTACCGATAATTATTTGTAATTTAACTCTGTAAATTATTAAGAGGAGATGATTTTTAGCGTATTTACATCGTGTAAGAAAGATTTATTTGTATTTTATAATAATGGAAAAATAATTTTTATTTCTCAAGGAATTTTACGAAATAGAAAAAGTGATAAACTTATAATAAAAAATTTATTAAAAAAATTATACTCGTTTTTTTTTTATCCCCACTTTTTTAATTTTATCATTATTAAAAAAAAATAAAATTTTAAATATTAGAAATAATTAATAATAAAAATAGCAGAAACAAAATTGTTTTTTTTAATAAATTATAAAATTTCCAACAATCTTATTCTTAAATATTTATATCAGATATTTTGATAATTTAAAAAATAAAAATTGTACTTTTGCTATTTTTTGATGTTACGTTCTAGGAAAATTCTAAGTTTTTCCCAGATAAATAATAAAATGTTTTCAATTAATTATCTTCAGCTTTCAAAATTCATATTTATAAGTTTTTGACATTACTTTAAATTTACCTGCCCCCAGGTAGGTGATGGACAGAGAGCCTGAACGCTGACTAGCGCTCTAGGCGATTTCACCAGGGTCGAACTGCTAATAAACGCTCGAACCCTGAGGGTAATGGTTATGATATTTAGAGAATGGAATACCTGAACGCTGGCTAGCGCTCCAAATAAAGGAACCAGGGTGGAAAGCTGGTAAGCGCTCTCAACCCTCGGTTAAGGATTTAAGAAATATCCCTTGTAATTGATTAACAATTAAACAGATTTATTGGTAAATAGGCAGGTTCAGCCTCGGACCAGCAGAGATTGCTCCTCTGCTAAGTCCTCGGACTGACTGCTTCAGATGAAGTCTGAAGACAGAATCCATTAGAATAATTATTACAATGGGCTTTTATAATGATTTTTAGCAATGTTCCATCTCAGGTTACCCTATAAGAACATCAACGCAGTCCAAATCCCACAACGTAGACTGTTTAGTCTACTGGACTGCGTTGACGTTCCAGAAATCTCTTATTTCGAGGTATTTTAATGACATTAAAGTTACCAGTCACTAGAGAATTTTTTAATTTTTTTGAACAAACAAATTTGTTCAAAAAATTACTTTTAAAAAATTGCATTTTTTGTTTTTTAAAATTTCTACATGTCAATTTTTTTTCTAATTTTTTTTGCCATAATTTATTTAAAAAAAAAAATTTCTAAAATTTATTATTAAATATCTGCTAAATTTAATTTTATCAATTAATAATAAAACAATTTAAATAATAATTTATTAAATTTAAAATTTCCGAGAACGTAACATTAATATTTTAAATATTGAAATAATTATTTTCATATGAAAAAAAAAAAATAAAAACTTACATTGGTTGGCTTCATGAGTCAGGTAAAAAATAATAATTTAAAATACTGAAAAAAAGAAATCACCAACACGCGAAGACCGACCGTGGGTACACGAAAATTACTTGATAATTTATTATTAAAAAAGGACAGACAAAATAGCGTCTCCATGATTGTCATAAAAAATATTATAATTACGAAAATTTACCACTTATTAATTTAAACTTATCAAAAAAAAAAATTATAATTATAGAAATGTTTCTGGCACGGACTGTTGACTCACGACTCGAACGACATGACCGCGAATGTCAGAAGACCCTACTAAAACGACCCGAACTTTATTTACTGAATTTCGATACTAAAAGTGCCCGGATTATTAAAATTATTATCTTAAAGTGAATTCGGGATGATAAAAAACGTAATTATAAATATATTTTTAATAATTATGAGGATAAAACTAATAATTACTTGATTTTAATACGAGCGAAACGAGGAAACGTACATTGTGCTGACGGCTGCGCTGTAGGAATGGCGGTTAAAACAGACCTGCGCAGTAGAATGCGTTTCAAATGCGCAGTTGCCTGAAGCGCCTAAAGAGGGCACCACTGATTTACCGAGCTGTCGTCTGATCGTCTGATGCAAGTTGTTGTGAATATAAATAATTTATTTATTATTAAAAAATACTTAAGTAAATTAAATTATAATAAATAATTAATGTTTGGTGGACATTTTAAGATAATAAGTTATGGCTAACCAGCAACATATGTAGTGGAATGTCAAAATATTGTGCCGGGTATTCTCTCGTATAGTTTACATGTAGTAGCCGTTGACAGAATTTTCATGAACAAGAAAAAACGAATAACAGGTATGATGTTATAAAAATAATTATTGATGATTAATGATTATAACTTTTGTTAATTTTTATCATTTTATAGATGTTTTATTTTATAATTAATAAACTCCTGAAGCATCGATGCACGAGTCCATGATTGGCGCTTTAGTCACAGAATGAGTGAGTAAATTTGAAAATTCAATTTAAACAATTTTTTTGAAAGTGTGAAAAAAAAACTATAGAATAAAAATGTTGAATTTTTATTAATTTTATGGAAACAAATTATTCAAATATCATTTTTAAATTAATTTTTTATTAAAATAATTTTTACAAAATTTTTATTAAAAAAATTTATATAATAAGGTAAAAGACCCCATTAGTGGCACCTTTAACCCCCATTAGTGACACTTTTTCTTTCAATGAAAAAATGTTCTACTTGGAATGAAAATTAAAAATTTTTTTGATTAAAAAGTCTTAAAAATTATAAATAATATATTTATTATTGAAATTAATGATTTAATTAATTGAATAAGTACCAAAATCGAAAAAAGTGTCAGTAATGGGGTCCCCGCCACTAATAGGGTCTTTTCCCTATTCAATATTTTTAAGAACTATTTTTTTTAAACTTTTTAATTCTTTCTATCAATTGTGTATGAAACATTTAAAATCCCAATATAAAAAAAAATCCTAAATATGATGTGGTTGGTCGAATGTATCTGAGCATGAAAATATATGCAAACCCCATCATATCCAGGCGCGCGCATATTAAATTCTAGTATCTCAAACTTACTGACCTTCAGTCCATATTATATATTTTTATCCCAAAAATATCCGTGATAGCTACAGTTTCAGACCAACCGAATTTGAAACTGTTGGCGTCAAGTTGGCTACAAGTTTCTGAGAAAAACAAGACCAATCTACTGCCGCAGTATGTCGCCAAATTTCTCGAGAAACTTGTCGTCAACTTGGTGCGAAAGAGTTTCGAAAGCAATTTCTGCCGACAACTTGGCGACAACTT